CCCCAAAACCCCAAAACCCCAAAACCCCAAAACCCCATTATGATATAATCGGGTTGACGTGGTATAATTAAAATAATTTATTGTTAATGAACTCTTCAACTGGATTTTATCAAAATGTCAACCAGTTCAAATTTGTTGCAACTGGAGAGAAAGTAAGATATTTTTTATTGTCTATTGATTTACTGTTTTATTGGACAATAACATCAAATTCTTAATCGGTATCATTATCTACATACAGACAAGGCAAAAAGCATGGGGTCTTACTTCAGACATAGTCAAGCAACCATCATCTAGTTTAATGGAACCGATCCCAAGCTTGTTAGAAACTACTCAGTCTCTTCATACACAAACCCATAATTTTGCTCATCAAAGGATTTCCCAAAGATTTACTGCTTGAAATACTAGTAATATTTCGACACTCAATGAAGAAAGAGGTTTAAAATCAAGTGACTTCACCAAAATCCCTAAGTGTGAAGAAAACAAATATACAGAGGATGAGGAGAAAATCAGAGACTTCTATGCCAAATACTGCCTATGTCCTCCTTCCGTTCAAGCCTCTCCTATCGACTCTGAAGAACAGCAGGCTAAACAGATGACTTTCACTAATAGAAAGCTAGTTAGCAAGATTCAGAAAGAGTTTCCTGGTGTTCGTGAAGAAGCCTTGCAACTGCTCTTCAGCAGTCTCATGCATACTCACAGTGAAGGTGATATCGTGTTCACTACTAGACCCAAATCTAAGAAGACCAGAATCGGCGCGAACTTTAGAGGGTCTAAGTTTATAGGAGTGTCACGAAATGGAGAGTCTTGGCAAGTCTACATCGTAATCGATAGACGCAAGAAATACGTAGGGTGTTTCAGTTCTAAACTTGAAGCTGCAGCTATCTATGACAAGCTAGCAATTAACTTTCATGGGCGCAAAGTAAGCATTCAAATTAATTTTTAGGCTAAGACCAACTTTTCCTACACGAAGCAAGAAGTTTTGCAGATTATATAAGCCAATTTTCAATGGTGACAAAGATTAGTCTCTCATCACAGATTGCTCTCAGAGGTAAGGCATCCACTTTACTAATTTACTCAAGGGAGATTATAAATTTCCAATTATGAATCTGCTCTCTAATCTCTATGCTTGTAGTTGGTCCAGGCGATATGCATCTTTTCCACAGTTTCGATTTTTGTAAACCTTAAATACTTAAGTCCTAATTACTAATGTTTTATGCCAAGTATTTTCTCTTTTCCATTCAGAAGCTCTTCGCTAATAGAGGCTAAGCAGGAGCTATTAGAGAATACTAATTTGGAACTTAGGCTTCGAGGGGAAATCCGACTAGTTGGCAATTTGTTAAGTTCTTGCTGAATTAGTATTTGCTCAATATCAGGTCTTCAATTCTGGTCGAGTATTGAGCCGTTTCGAACGTCCTTCAAAAGTATACTCAAAGATGAGATTAGAGTATAAGTATGGGTGATATGTCTCCTAATTAGTTAACCATAAAAATATTCATAATTTGAAAATTAAGCATCCTCTGACCATCAAAGTGGTGTTTGGATGAAAAATGAACTCGATAGGTTGGAACTTTTCCATCATTGAGTTTTTACTAATATATGCTGGAATTTTATAGAAGAATTAGTTTTTACTCTTTCAACTAAAGCCTTAAACTTTGTAGCTCTTTGATAGAAGAGATGCTTGCTTAACTAGCAAAGTTTGCCTCGTCTTCAATTAAATATTCACAGGCATAACAGTCTATATAATAATGAGGTCTAGGGTTATTTTTGTACAGCTTATATCTTCAAACCGATAATTTTCTTTGTCTTTGTATGAAGCTTCTGATTTCATAAGAACTAATAATCTCATATAGAAACATGAGAGCATTTCAGTAAATTGAAGGAGTTATTGTCCTCCCAGGATGCCAAAGGCATGAGCACAGAGATCAATAATTAACTTAATTTGCTGTTAAAGCTTCAGTTAGACACTTCATTACCTTCCTGTTAATATAAGAATTCAGGAGATTCCAATTTTCATGAATGTTTTATTCAAAAATTAGTGACCTTATTCTTGGGAAAGAGGTCTTATCATAAATTGAGGCTAAGAAAAAAATTTGTGTCTTAGAACTGGTCTATGGTTGGGGATACCAAAGCAGTAGCTTCATTGGGTTTGGAAATACACATGCTTCTCCTAGTCAGTTTAGTTAATTCGAAAAATTCATTTACAAACTTACTCTTTTTATGGATTTGGTTAGAATAGAGAATTCAGATACAAAAATTTACAGACAATGCTGTGCTCGATTCACTGGAGCTTCGAAGACTCTAAACAGAGTCTCAGGCTTCTTTTCACGATTTTGTTGTTGACCCAAAATAATAGTCTCAGGTTATAATCTAAACTAATTTTTAAAAACCACCAAAATGTGCAATTGTTTCTTTAGTTGAAAAAGAGAGAATTAGCAATCATTAGTTAGCCAAGAATACAACGCGATCATCCCTTAGCTCTATCTCCAGTCTAATTCAGCTAAATTTTGAAGCTTTGAAAATAAAGAGTGTAAGTTTGGAAATGTAAGTAAGAGCTCTCTTTAATAATTTTGAATAATAGGAATGGGTTATAAGACCTTTAAAAGATTATTATACTGAAACAGAACTGATGCTCATAAGAGATGGCTAATAGAAAGTTTGCTAATATTATAACCTCAATTAAAGATAGAGCAACTCATCCATTTTAGGCGGAATAGTTTATTATAGCTTAATTTTCCCCATTTTGTACAAGAACAAATGAAAGCCCAAGGAACTCTTTGAGAAGCCTATCGTATTTATGGCAATTATATGTTACATAAATCTTCATCAAAAATTTCCAGCCATTTTTGATATAAACCTAGACTTTTAATTAGAAAAATATAGGAATATTTTTTGAGGTTGACATTCATATCTCTATAACTTTGATTAAGAAAGCCAGGGAATTATTTCAGAAAGATTTTAGTTCTAAAAAATTAAAAAATTTATGAAAAGTTGATTTATTAGTGAATCTGAAGCCCAAATTTGCCCATCTGAGGTAATCCGAATTCATTCTTCATCTACCCCCACATTATGTCATTAGTGTATTTGGAGAAAGAGAGTCTTTGTTTTTAATTGTGAATGGCTATTAGACTCATATCCTGGCTATAAGAGATGCCTGAAATTTAAATCACCAAATCAGTTTAATGTTATTTAATAGTACAAATAAAGCTTTCAAGAGAATTAGGAACAAATTCTGAAATCCAAAAAGATTTCTCTATAATCACATTGGTCTGAGATGTCTAAGGAATGATATGGAACTTGTAACTCTCTCAACCGCTCAAGGATCAAGAACCTTCAGATGCGTAGCCTGCGAAAGTAAGCAACCCATAAAACCTAATAAAGATGGAAAGAATTGTGAGAGGAATTCCCTGGAATTTCTCAAGGCAAGGGATTACTATGCAGCTAATTGAGTAATTTCTAACTATAATAAACATTTGCTCAGACTATTCTTAAGAATCACCTGTTTTTGCAGGTTTTGCTAAGCTTTATCATATATCAATAACATCGATTAAATAGAATACGATGATAAGAAAGAACTTCTGTTGCCTCTCAGGTGCGATTAGAAGAATTCGATTCTTCAAGCCTCTCTATAGACTCAATTTTACTCCTCTTTACTGTAATTATAACCATGAAATCTCAATGATGTCCAGACAGCCAGTTTGAATCCAAAGATTTGGGTTCTCCAATATGGGCTTCATGAATATTGATACAGACAACTATATGATTTCTTCAACAGTTTTTATGAGCGCAACTTTTATATAAAAAGCCGACAAATTTACGTAAGAAGAGTAGGAATCGCTGGATTAAGGGTTAAAAATATAATGCTAATCTATTATTGGCTCTTTTAGATAAGTAATGGACTTCATAAGTTGCTTCAAGTAAATATTTGGTATTTTTCCTTACTCGAGTTACTAGACTCCTACAGAGAAGAGCCTCTGGAATAGGTTCTGCTAAAATAGTAAGCTCCCTGATGCTTAATATTTGATGAAGCAGAATCCCATTTTTGGACGATCTCAATTAATCTTCCGTCTTAAAGTTTAACTGATATTTTAGTTTGAGCCTCAATTCGCCTGGATTTGAGCAAATATCATTGAGCTCTTTAAAAGAGAACTGTAAAGCGATAAGAATTGATGCATTTCAAATTAGTTTTAGAGCTCTTTGATTGGGTTTACATGAGTTTTAGCATACCAAAATTAGGAAAATATGACGTTTTTATGAAAAGTTTGTTTAGCTGATTGATTCACAAAGTGATCCTTCCTTTATGCTTTGGAAGCATTGAGATAGTGAGGTAGCCAATAGAGCATTGATATAAACCTCATAGAAGCTTTACAAGATTCTCTTGACTGAGAGAGCAAACTAAACACTCTCGAATCAACAGGTAGGCCATAAAATAACTAAAATTTGAAACAAAATTATACAGAAAGATCTACCAGAAGCTATCAACACAACTATCACATAGTTGTAGGAGGGAATTGTTTACTAGCTTCAAAGTTAGCTTCTCAGCCTCTGAATTTTTCGTTTAATTCTCTTATAGCTTTGAAGGGATATCATCCAACATTTGTTTTATATCAATAGTAGGCATAAATTTCAACCTAAATACTTCATTTGAATAAAAAGATAGGCAAGTGTTCCAAAAGTCTTTTAGGGCTTATCAAAAATGCAAGTACTCTACAATGAGACTACACTATGATGGTTCTGAGTACGATTAAATTCGAAACAATTAGAGCTCTTCATCTAAATCTTGCGAAGCATGCTCATTTGAAATTTCTGAGGTTTACTTAGTTGAATATTCCCATGACTCCAAAGCAGAACAAAGCTGAACTTTGAACACAGAAATGACTCAGGCAATAATGAAAGGACTCCATATTAGCCTAGAGACTCCTTTAGAATGGATCGAAGTATAGTAGCCGCCATTGGAAGATTCTTGAAAAAGTTTGTATACGGAAGAAAAGATTTCCAAAGCCTGAACTTTCAGTAGGAAGACCATAAAAATAATTACGAAAAATCTTTAGAAATGAACTTCAAGTTCCTCTGCAGCCTTTCAGCAAGAAGCTGTGCACAGCGAGATCCATGCCATAAAGAGTGATGGGAGTGGTATTTTAGGCACAATTCCAGGACTTACTTAGAAACGGGTTTGCGAAAAGATTAAGTACATGGAGTTCGTGTAGGTGAATCATAGGTTCATCAGTGCTAGGGGTAGAATATCTGGAAGAGGAAATAGAGTATTTTTGGTATGGAAATCATTATGGGAGTAATTAGTATTCATAAAATCACAGAAATATTCCTGAGAGGGAGATTTCAAAAGAGAATGATTACTCTCTAAATTTAGGGAAGATGAAGGCAGGTTTCTTTCTTGAGATATTTTTATCTTGCTAAAATTTATATGAAATTATTTCAAGAACCTACTGTGCATGATTTTGTTTATCCATCAGCAACCTGAATCACTTTTTACCCATTTCGAACATTTATTTTTATTATTCAAAGTGATCACATTGCCGAGGGGTTTTGGGGTTTTGGGGTTTTGGGG